ATCATGTCAACGAACAATATTATTTACGAAATTACTAGCTAAAATAGCAATACCTTTTTTGTTAAGGTGCAGTTTGTGATTGTTCAAACACGTCTCGTCAATGTTTGGATGCTCGACAAAGCTCCAACCATGTTGGTTACAAAATGTTCTTAAAACTTTATTACAATCTGTTATCTTCTTCTTGAGCGAGTCTTCATCGAATCTTTGTGTAATTGCAGAGATGGTCAGTTTAGTGTCAGGTGAATTTGTTGCAATAACATTGCCCAAGTCAACAATCTTCTCCGCGACATTTCGCCCAGATGATGAATTTTAAGATCGTTCGTCCCGACGTGAAGAATTATCGCCTTCGGTTTTGCTTCCAAGCTCGGTTGTAGGTAATGCTTCATATCGGCGGTTGTTGCACCAGGGAAGCTTCTTACAGTTACGGGCCGTTTTGCTGCTCGACTTAATAAGTCCCTTCGCAATCCTTTGATTATTGAATCGCCTGCAATGATTGTTTCTTCATTTGATGAAGGGCCACTTTTGTTCTTCTCCAGTGAAGGGCTATTTTTGTTCTTAGCTTTGATCTTATTTGCATTCTTTGTTTCCTTTTTCCAACTTGCTCCCAAGGGCCATCGTTAGCAGAGGTTTTCTCGCTTGCTTCTTGGGGTTTTTGATTTTTTTCCGTTGACTCTTGGTTGTAGATAAGACCATTCAGATCTTTAGCTACACATGTTAGCGCCAGTTTGAGCGAGTCTCGCTCGGCTTCGACGTCCTTGAGCTGGATTTTTAAAGCCCTTTTCATTTTCCAATGCTTCGACTTGGCTGGAATTGGCGGGAAGGTCAGTCGACCGTTTCAGCCGTTCAAAGTTAGATTTTAGAAGTTCAATGTCTTTGCAATTAGAATTTAGCTTGGTTCGTATATCGAAGTCTTCAGAGTCATCTGAGTTAGCTAGCGAGCCGTCGGTGTCTGAGGCGGTTCGCAAAGAAGGAGCGATTTCATCGTCCATTTCAGTGTCGTCCGCGACCATCGTAGTTTCATTTGGTGGATTTTCAACATGAATATCTTGTTCATTGCTACTTCCAGCGTCTAAGAAGCTGTGTAATCGTTCCCTGAGTATGTCTTTGTTTCCTTGGGTAGAAAGACCTAGTTCGGCAAGCTTGTCTTTCAATTCAGAAACTTTTAGACCGGAGCTAAGAGAGACACGTCCGTTCGCCATGCTTTGCATAATAAAACTACGAGACTACGAGACGAGTGGAGAAGAAAAAAATAAAGCTTTATTTTTGTCTCCTCCCCTCGTCTCGCGATTCGCGCAAAATGCCGCGTTCGCCTCGCTTGGCTCATAAAGCGACTGTCACGCGGGCTAGATACTGATTGTCTTACTAAACCGAAAGTGAACGTATCATTATCACGATGCATAACAAGATCAGATGTATTTTAACAGTATACACATCAGTGACTTTATGGATTCCTTTAGAGTCTTTATATAGACTATCATAGTCTGAAATATCATACGCCTCCACCCCCTAACCAGTGGTCAATTGCCGTCCTTTTGCCTGAGAAGTGGTATTTTGAGCGATTTTGAGTTCGCTGTTTGTTGTTCCTCTTAATAGAAGGACATCTATTAAGGAACAGCAATTACCATATTATACTACTACTTGAGGAATTTCTGCAATTTGATTGGCTTAGAACAGTGGTATTGCAGAAATAAGTAGCATAAACAAATAATAGCATGATTTGTACGTGATATTTGGCAAACCACTCCTGATATTTCAACAAGCTTGAAATATCACTCGTGGTATTTATGCCAAATATCACTACAAATCATGCTATTATTACCTTATACAAACTTCTTCGGTTATACTAAAAGATTGTGTGGGTGGCCTGTGGTTAGGGCGTGACAAAATGTGCACACGAGGACTCTCCTTCCCATACTTCACACGTCTTGCGAGCTAGGAGCGAAGCCTAAGGCAGACACTTTCCTCTCTTGTCCTCAGTGTGGAGAATTGTCAATTAACTGCTACATTTTTAGGCCTTTTTTTCCACTCTACTTCGTCTTCTGGTCTTGACTAGCTGAATTAAGGATTTGTGATATCTGGCGATGATTCACGTGTACATTAATTCCGTTATGATCGGAAAATTTCTTTCCGGTAAGCTTAAGTTTATGTGTTTGTTCGTGTTTGCAGCATTGACGAGCATTACTACATCGTCATGCCTCTGGATTTTAGAGTTCAGCGAAACCGCATATGGTTTGACCAATTGCGAATTAGAGAAAACGTGGTGTAAAATAGCGGGAAGTCCGGAAATTCCTCTCACTGCCTCCTTCTACGCCCAAAGAAATCTGATCCCCATCAATTCAGACAAAGGGTCCTGTGTTGTCAGTTTGCCGAGTTTGATCGTGGTCGTGTGGATCGAGCGCGAACCATGATTTCGGCCATGAAAAAGCTACTTGCCATCGTTTTACCTGTGATTCTGGCCTTAACATTTAGTCCACAGTTAACTTATGGTCAAATAACAGCCATCAACATCGCACAGGGCAAGAAAATCGAAGCGACTTCAACGTGTGGAGTTGGCGTAGGCGAGAAAGAGCTTTTCTGCAAATTGGCGACCGTGCCGGGAAAGTTTGCAATCTCTGGTCTATCCTGCGATTATTGTGACCCATTGACACCTTCAAGTAATCATTCGATAGAATACGCTATTGATGGAACTGAAAATTGGTGGCAGTCACCCCCGCTTTCCAGAGGACTTCAGTATCAACAAGTCAACATCACAATCGATTTGGGACAGGTCGGTGTGTTCGCCGTTTTTATGCTGATCGCAATATGCTATTATCCTCAATCGTCTTCTTTTTAAGTGACAGAATTGTGGTTTGCTGCAGTTAAGCTTCAGTTTGTCTTGTACAACTCATCGACCTGATCGGCCAACTGCGCAATCCATAATTTGGTCTCGAGATTTGTATGAATTCTTTCTCAGCGTTGCCGCAGATCTCTTGAAGGAAACCTGCATTTCAGGTCACATTCCTTAGGTCATGGTCACAAATACCTCGCAAAAATTTTCCAAAAAGAGGCAAAGACAGCCTCATTAAACCGTGAGCCTTAATAGCGAGCCTAGCATAGCATTTTTACTAAAAGCCTGTTTATTTGGATGTGTTTTTTAAGTGACCTGCATGAACCTTAAATCTTGCCCTATGGAATGTGATTCAAAGATACACGGTATGCGGCCTCTGTAGGTTTTCTCTGAAGCTGAAATTTGAAAGCGCGACAAATTAAAATTAAGTATACAATCCGAAGTCTTTAAAGGTTCACAGTGTTTTCAACGTACGTTACAAAGCTTGGGCATTTTCTGTAAGATAATTTAAAGGAATTTCTCACCGAGCCAAGGAATGTGTCAGGAAACCAGTCATTTCGACCGATGATCGCTGCAAGTATAGTTTGTGTGTGAACAAGAAAAATATTTTGGGTGGTTATTCTTCATTCTTTAAGCCAAAAGCATGAAACTACTGACAATTCGACTGAATAAACTTGTACAGGGTTGTCAAAAGTAGCCAGCTGCTGGTGAAAATCCCCGCCTACTTGGTTAGTAGTATCGGCTGCCTACTCTGCTACTCTGCATTCTTTACGGATGGCATTTTTTAAATGAAATATCCCTGGACTGGCCACTAACTTTGACAACTCAGCCGACTGCTTCTTCTACTATTTTTATTTTTACAACCCTGCTTGTATCGAAACGACTTGTGTCGAAATGGCTTTGTATCAAAATGACCAGTAACCATGTGTCATGGTATCCCAGTGCCCTTGCTAATTGCTTGCCATGCTTTGCAGTTTCTGTTACGCTATAATAAAATAGACTCTTCCATGGTTCTTTCAGTGTTTGACTGGGATCAGTTGCCGAAAATCCGTCAACACAGCTGAAAGGAACACCTTAAAATTAGTGGAAAGTGCCAAATTTGAAGGTTATTTGTTGTAAACAGAAGCATATATATAACCCCGAAGTGTATAACTCTGTTCCAATTCTCGTTTTTTTTTTGAGAACCGATCAAGATATAGTTCCTATTATGGAATCACTGATATGCGAGGCTATAGCTCTAGTGTTAAGAAAACTTTGTATGGCGTTGTAAACAAAGGGCTTCAAAGGGCAATTAAAGTTTTTTGAAGTAAAATTGACCAAATCGGAACCTGACTAATCATGATAAGCAT